GAGAGAGAGAGAGAGAGAGAGAGAGAGAGAGAGAGAGAGAGATTGTCCCTCGGACTGTGTTCAGGGTGACCTGCTTGTGTCAATCTCTGCATATGGTCCTGGGTCAGATTGCCCTTTGTTTGCTCTGATCTGGTCAATTTTGCCGTTGTTGTGGGGGTTCCATCACTGTGTACACAGGCCTAGGTTGGTTGCTTTGGGTTTCGATGGCGTTGACGTGAATCATTCTTCGGAACAGCGCGCACCATGAGATTGAGAACAGATAAGCGCTTCTGAGTGGTGGGGAGATGTAAATTGAAGTTGTGGACAATAATCTGAAAGGGGAGGGAGTATCCCCAGAGGAAGGGACATGCGGATTGATTGAAGAGCATTTCGGCCAAGTGAGCCGATTTCTAATGCTGTATGGAGGGATATGGGCAATAGAGTCCAAGAAGATGTGGAAACAGTGCACTTCTCAGGCGAATTAGGAATAGGAAAAGGAAGTCGGTGAGTTCGACGGGACAAACAACATTAATCACGGAGCGGGGAAGGAGACGTCATATCCTCATTTGCTCAGCTGAGAAGTCTTTGGCTGCAGCGCCGGGCAGAGGAGTAGAAGAAGGCACGGGAACGGGAAGAGGGGCTCTGCGAAGGGAGGACGTCTTGGAGGCTATGAATTGGGAAGCTGATAGGGTTGGCAGCGACTTGAAAGTTTCGATGGATGACCTGGCATCACGGCGGGCAGTCAGATCTTCTCTGACGAAAAAGAAGGCTGACGACCCCAGCAAAGCCATTGCCGAAATGATGCTTCAAGGCTGGGCAATGATGAATGAACATTGTCCAGAATGCGTTGCGCCTTTGCTGAGGAATAGAAAAAAGAGACTCTTCTGTGCTGTTTGTGAGAGATGGATGTTTCCCGAGACGGATATGGCGGCGGCTCCATCAGGTGGAGGAGCCCAGCAGCAGCAGCAGCAAACGCGGAGGGAGTTGGATTCTGGTGATCAAGGAGTGGATAGCTCCCCTCCTTTTTCTCGGATCACCCATCCGCTGGGTCTGATTGCCGAACCTGGCCAATCTTTACTGGAAGGGGGTACTAGGGCGGGGTCACTTGGTGGGAAAGAGTCCGATGGGACTTCTTTGTCCAATCGCTATTCTGCCACCGCATCCGTGAGCTCATTGAAAGGAATGGGCACGAGAGATGGTGCTGCTGCGCCAGCTAGTGCAAAGGAGGGTGGAACGCCGACTAGGAGTGAAGAGAAGAGGCAGGCGAGGTCATTAGATGAGGACCATCATGATGGGACAACCACAGATGCAGGCGATCGTCCCCGTCAGTTGGCCGCTGCCGACAGTCGACGAATTCAAGAACGGATCTGCAATGCGGAAGCCATCGATACTGTTGGTGGGAGAGATGAGAGGGTGGGAAAGTCGGGAAGAGTGTTGAAGAGGATGGCAGTGGGGGAGCCCGCTGTCATTGGAAATGGAGACGATTGCAGAGATGGACATGCCATTGATGCTAGAGCCTCTGATGGTGATCGTGGCACCGGTTTAGGGTTTCAGGACGCGCGACACGCAGTGGAGTGGGTGGGACAGAGATCGACATGCTTGACAGGATCGCGATTGGCCGACTGTGGACCGCGCGACGAGGATTCACTGATCTCTCCGACCGAACTTCCATTGACAAAAGGAAGAGGGATTAGCGCTGGCGGGAGGGACACGAGTGGCGGGGACATTCCCCAGGTGCGTGAGTGAAAGGCTGTGAGTGTTTTTCTTGTTAGATACCCCTCTATGGTTGTCTACCATATGTTTTTGAGCAGCGTTCTGCCTTGCTGTGGCCCTTTGCGTGTTGTTATCACTATCGCTGTTGGTATCTCCCCCTCTCTCCCTCTCTCCCTCTCTCTCTCTTTCTCTTTCTCCTGAAAGCAATGCGCAGCGCAGGTCAGCCGCTCTATTCTCTGTGCGGGTATTAAGAGTAGACCAGTGCGTCAGACTGGCTGGTCAGCTGGCCACCGTCTGACGCTTGCGATTGATGGTCATAGTTGTCTATGCTCAGGGACCAACCTCATTGTCAAAGGGGAAGGGCCGACGTTAATCATTAGAAGAGCGGGCTTGGTATGTTGGCGGGAGGGAACATAGGCGTTCAGGCGATTAATCTCTCTCTTTCAAAGGCAGTAGCTTTTTGCTGTTCTTTGTTGTCTGTAGGGCTCGGTTGTGGGTTAACTGATGTGGGGGGAAGAGGAGGGGCAAAGAGGAATGGTAATTGTATAGCTTTTAAACGGTCTCTGCTTGCTCTCTTGTTGATATCCTCTGGTGATGATGACGGTGCATTCGCTGTGTGCTTGTATTTTGTGTTTGTTTTGTGGCTGATAGGTTTGCTGTTTTTGTTTGGCCTGCCCTCCTCTGATCTTTTCCAGGCAAACGGGGCTTTGAAAATTGAGGATGTGGTTAGCCGGACTGTCACCACACTCGCTCACAAGCTGGAGGTATGTGTAGCACTCCATTCATAACATTATGAATAGCGTTGTGATGAATGGATGGTCGTAATTACTCGAAACTACCCACTTTGTCGGCTCTGTCGTATGATCATAAATATGAAAGAAGTGATCCTGGCATCGAATATATTCCCGTCGAGCTTCCTCTACAGTCTTGTCATCGCGGTAGAGTTTTGCCAGCAAGTTTGGGATGAATTGGCGTGGTTCCACTACGCCAAAGATACCAGGATATTGACAGATGGCCTGTACGGCCTTCCCTTCTGCATCCTTCCCGATTAGTGCGTGTCATATCCTTAAACGCGAACGGTCCATGCGGAAATTATCTTGTCTGCATCGTTCCAATTCTAACGTATGCATGGATCTTACCGTGGAACTCATCCTTTCTCTTGTCTGTTGTACATGTTTCTAGTTCCCACCATATTATCTTATGGCGTACTCACACTACTTAGGGACGCCTCACACTAAAGGACTTTTTCAGCTCATCTTTGGACGCGATTGCCGTATGATACATCCACAACTGGCCCCATCGCAGAAGTCCCAGTGTGAGTATGTACTTGGATAGTTTGTTTTGTGTTCCATTCCTACATCGTGTCCATATGTATCTTGCGATGCCCGATTGTTGGCGTCTGTACATCAGTTTCTGGTCAGATAGTAGTTGTAGTGCACAGGTATTCCAGTCGGGAACAAAACGTGTAGGATTAGAACCTTTGACCTCGTGGAATAACAACATGGACTTCTGTGCCACAAATTGTTGTTGGTTGTGGGAATTAATCGGTGGGGATAATGTCTACTGGTGTAATGTAGGTCCCTCGTCAAAATTGTCGTGCCTCAAAAGTGTGGAATCGTGGCAACTTTCGTCAGAAATCAGAGTGTCAATAGCATTTCCGCTTCTTTTTCAGTGCAGTGTTGAAGGCATGGTCAATTATTTGGGTTTTTTGGACGAAAGGTGTTCATCATTGTCCTACCGGTAGTATGTATATGTCTTCATCGGCTATTGAAGCAGCAGTCCAAGATGGGGGTAAGGGAAACAAGGGGGGGGGGGGGGGGGGGGGGGGGGGGGGGGGGGGGAGGGGGGGGAGGGGGAGGGGGGGGAGGAGAGAGAGAGAGAGAGAGAGAGAGAGAGAGAGAGAGAGAGAGAGAGAGAGAGAGAGAGAGAGAGAGAGGCAGCATCACTGTTCTTCTCCCTCGGCCCATCGTCCTCCATTCCTGTCGCGACCCTTCTCCCTCGACCCTTGCTCATTCCGCCATCGCCCCTTCCTGCCACCCGGCACACTCTCCTTCCTCCCTTTCTCCTTCCTCCCTCCTCCTCCCTCCCTCCCTCCTTCCTCCGGTGGCCTTACCTTACCCCTCGGCCCTCCCTCCTTCGCACTTTGCTCCCTTCTTTCTGCTCACTCTAGAGCCCTTTCCGTTTTCCCCTAATTTACGTCATTCGAGAGAGAGACAGAGAGAAAGAGAGACACAGAGAGAGAGAGAGAGAGAGAGAGAGAGAGAGAGAGAGAGAGAGAGAGAGAGAGAGAGAGAGAGAGGCACCATCACTATTCCTCCTCCTTCGGCCCATCCTCCATTCCTGTCTTGACCCATCTCCCTCGACCCTCGTCCCTCCCTCCCTCCTCCCTCCTGCCGCCAGGCCCTCCCTCCTTTCTCCCTTTCTCCTTCCTTGCATGCTCCCTTCTCCTCCCTTCCTTCCTCCGTCCTTCCTCCGGTGGCCTTACCTTATCCGTCGGCCCTCCTTCCTTCCTTCGTTGCTGCCTTCTTTCTGCCCGATCTATAGAGTGCATCCCTCTTCCCTCTTCCCTGTTCCCTCAGCCCATCGTCCTCCATTCCTGTCTCACCCTTCTCCCTCGCCCCTCGCAACTCCCTCCCTCGCCCCTAACTGCCCCTTGGCGCTCCCTCCTTCCTCCCTCCCTTTCTCCTTCCTTCCTCCCTCCTCGTCCTCCCTCCCTCCCAACTTTCTCCCGTGGCCGTACTTCATCGGTCCGCGATCCCTCCTCCTTCCCTCCTTGGTCCCTTCTTTCTGTCTGATCTCGAGAGTACGTTTCTGTTTTCCTTTCTTTCCCGCCACATTGCGCACAAGCTTGCACGTGCGCGCTCACGTGTGTGTGTGTGTGTGTGTGTGTGTGTGTGTGAGAGAGAGAGAGAGAGGAGGAGATGGAGGCCGGGAGGAAGGGGAAATACGTCAGGGGGGAAGTGGAAAGGTGACAGGGAGAAGTAGGGCAGAGGGAGTGCTGAGTNGGGGGGGGGGGGGGAGGAGCTAGGGGAAGCCTTCTCTTCGGAAGATATAGATCTATAGAAGTTCTGACCGGTAGTGTGTGTATGATTTGAAGTATTCAGAGGTAAAAAGGAAAAATAAAAAGGAAAAACAAAGGGCCAACCCATCATACGCTCCATTTGGCAGCGGGGAAGGGAAATAAGGTGTGATGCAAACCTGTACCTTGATGGGAAGTGACAAAATTTGAATTATGTCGGTGCTAACTGCTTATGGCTTATGTACAACTCTCATCAGACTACATGTACCTGAAGAGTCAAAACCTGGCGAGTCTTTTTTTTTGGGATTTTTCCCGGTTGCTGTTCCCCTCAAATCAATCTGATTCTAGGAAAGTAGCGGTAAGGGAGTACTTCAGTATTCGTACTATGGCTTTTTGTGTTTGAATCTGGCCGAATTTCCACTCGGATAGATCTGCGCAAGTGCTGGTGAGCCTGGTGTCACTATGCTGTTAGGGTTTACATGGTAATGCATATTGTCAATGCAAGGCAATGATGTTCAATTAAAACTTGATCTTATTCGAAAAGAGACATTGAAGGTGTAATTTTTGGCAGTTGCCCGTTTGCCTTCTTCTGAGGAAGATAAGGGTGAGCTTGTTGGTGGCAGTCGCTATTTCCTTTGTTGTCTACTTTGTTGATAAAACTTGCCGGATGCAGCTGAACCTTGTGTTTTTTTTTTCTTTTTCATTTCTGGCCTAATTTTATGAAAATAGCAGTAAGGGAATGCTCACATTAGGACCTTCTTTGCTTGTATCTGGCCGGATTTCCGCTTAGACACGTCCGGGAAAGTGCTAGTGTCACTACAGCTCTAAGACTTATGATACATGGCGATGATGGTACATGAAACTTTATCTTATTTGAAAAGAGACATCGGAGTTGCTATTTCTGGCAGTTGCCCGTTTGCCTTCATCTGAGGACGATGGTAGACACATACGGAAAAGTGTTAGTGTCACTACAGCTTTGATACTTGTATTATGTATTGTCAAGGCATGGCGATGATGGTAAATGAAACTTGATCTTATCTGAAAAGAGACATTGGAGGTCCTATTTGTGGCAGTTGCCGGTTTGCCGTCATCTGAGGATGATGGTGGTGAGCTTGTTGGCGGCAGTCACTTCTGCCTTTTCTGTCTACTTTAATAATACATGCCGGATGTTGCTGAGCCTTGCCTTGTGCTTTTTCTGTCTACTTTGATAAAACTTGCCGGATGTTGCTGAGCCTTGCTTGTTTTTGTAAATTTTGTTCGGTAAGGCTTCCTTGGGTGAAATGCATATTTGTCAAGGTAAGGCGATAATGGTCAATGAAACTCGATCTTATTTGAAAAGACACAAGTATAGTTTATTCGTGTTCAAGTGTGTCTGGAGCATCAAAATTGTGTGGAATCATAAATAGTTTGAATGCTAATCAATTGCAATCTATGAATCAAAATTTCCAAAGGTATTGCCCTGGTTCTTTGTTTGTATAAACAAGAGCTAACGGTTCCACCGTTATGAGCCAGTTTTTCTATAAGTGCTCACGCGCCTATGGGGCAAAAGGCATGAAGCGTCGACGATTTGTGTAATCAACGATAAATGGTCCCATGGGTAGCGTTGCCGAAATGTGTGTGGAAAAGCACTTGGTCAAACCAAGCAACAGGAGGCTCGCACCTCCGAGGCCGGCTCGGGCCAGCAATTCGGTGGAGATGTCCGAATTGCTGCACTTTGTGCCTGGAGGCTTGCAAGAGTCAGTCAATCAGTCAAGTACAAAATACAAGGGTTCAAATCCCTTTTCCCGCTCGTCAGCTCCCTTCGCTGTGATGCAGGCAATCCCTAATGCGCCTTTGGCCTCAGTAAGGCACAAAGAATACACTACACGAGTATTCACCACCGACAAGGGCGCCTTCGGGGCCGGCGAATACGCAATCACGGGACTGGCCTCCCTCGATAATGATAATGAGAAGATCGACAGAGCTGCCGTAGTAGGGGAACTAGCGAAGGTGCTACAGCTTTAAGACTTAGAGGGTATAATACATATTGTCAAGGCATGGCGATGATGGTAAATGAAACTTGATCTTATTTGAAAGGAGACATCGGAGGTGCTATTTCTGGCAGTTGCCCGTTTGCCTTCATCCGAGGATGATGGTGGTGAGCTTGTTGGTGGCAGTCACTTGTGCCTTTTCTGTCTACTTTGATAAAACTTGCCGGATGTTGCTGAGCCTTGCCTGTTTTTCCTATTCCCTTCACTTATAGAAATCGCTAACGTGAGAATTGGGCAATCAGGGCCGCCCGCGGTCCTACCGGCCCGACTTTAAGATCATGCGATGAACCAGGCCGCCGGCGGTCCTACCGGACCGACTTTAAGATCGTGGGATGATCCAGGCCGTCCGCCAGGTCGGATGGCCTGGATTGTTGTGCAATCTTAAAGTCTTAGGATCACGCGATGATCTGAATCGTCGAGCCGGTCGACTGTCCGGATCAACGCACCCGTTGGGAAGAGGACCTGTACGGGCCGCCAGGTAGTAGGAAAAAACACAGGGCCTTACGCCCAGTGCCCAACTGGCCCGCTGACGACCCGTTGAGTTCAGGGCCTTGCCATACTCTATACGAGACCAGCCGACAAAATCTATAGGATGCGCTGCATCGTAACGAAGCCGACGAACGCCTCACACAAACAAACGCCTTACGAGAACAGACTCCTCTACGGGCTGAATCGTATGACCCTATAGTGCGGCTGATGGTTCTTGCTCATGGTC